CCAGCTAGGACGGCCCATCCCGCCCATGAAACCGATGTTCTATCCTCCGGTGGTGCTGTGCGCTGGGCTCCGTGCGTCCTTTCGCTGTTCGATTGGATGCCTGCGAATTGACTTGAGAGCCTGAATTGTAGTGGTCGTCGCAGCAACCCCTCTCGCTGTCAACGCCGACTCTGTGCAGCCAAAAACGTCTCTCAATCTCGCCTCTGGTGCCCCTACTGCTTCACGGTGTCCGACCCAGCGCCACGCCACTCTCCTCGAGGCATTCGAGTACACTCTCGGCGTTGAGCTGCCCCTGTCACCCCAACTCCAAGAGTCCAAGTGCCTCCTGCCGACATTTCTGCACTGCGGCCTCCCCGCGCACTTCTTTGCCGAAGCATGCGGGCCGCGCGCTCGCGGCGCTCCCAAGATGAGAGGCGTACGGAGTTCCTGGGGTTATTAGTGCGTCTTTCTTGCACTTCTCTCTCCGCTTCTTCCACCCTCGTCCCTCTCAACCTCCCCACTCCGTCCCTCCCACCCTCCTCTCTTATCCACGTGCGTCGACAAACCGCTCGCCTGTGAGGCATCCTAACCGCCACCTTCCTCCTCCGAGTCCTCCTTTGCGAGCTCGTTCGCCTCGCCTATCGCACCTGCCGCCGCTTCGCATATCGCCTCGGACACCGTCTGCGCCTCTCGCATCCCGTCTACGCCGCGCAGCCTCGTCGCGCGCAAGAGGCGATGTGTCGTCTCGCGGAGGCGAATAACAAGTGCCCTTCCTCCTCTTCGCACCAGTATTCCGTCGTCTCCTTTGCGGACGCGGAGACAGAGGAGATCTTCGTCGCGTACACGTACCCCATCGAGAAGACGGCGACGCAGGAGTAGGCAGCTGCCCACCATCGCCGACGACGGTGCGTGGGTGCGTAACTACTAGCTACCCTTTATATCTTCTGCTCACTGCCTTTTGGCGTCTTCGCTTCGCTCCATTCAAACGCGAAAACGACCACGTCGTGCACAGCGGACAGAACGTGCGCACGCATCCACCTCGCGCGCACCGGCACAGACTCCGTAGCTGCGCTCCTCGACACCCGTGCCGTAACGTGCCCGACTCCCCAGCCGCCGCGTGCTTCTACCCTTGTCTTTGGCGCCGCACCAGCAAGCAGGTAAGCACAAAACCACCACCGTGTCCACGTCCGTGTTCTGACTTTGCCGCTATTGGTTAGTTAGCGCGCATGCAAAATACAGTAAAGGAGGATTTCATTGTGTACGCACCCAGCTCGTCGAGTGCGACTGTAAGTACGTACTTGGTATGTTGGAATATAATATCTTTTGCCTCCACTTTGCGTGCATGTGCCGGAACGAGTCAAAGTCGCGGGTTGGACATGCGTCAGGATCCGCACGATATGGAAGATCTCAGGCTCGGACCAGGCTGTAAATCAAAATCCAGACCAGCGGCGCGCGCGCGCGGCGGAGAATTGTGCAGGTACATGCACAGATCAAGGCAGATTGAAGGTCTGAGATAAAATACGATGACTTGAGAATGGAATAGAAGCCTAAAGCTTGATAGTTCTTCGGTAAATCGTTTGGTTAGATTCAAACCAAACTAGCTGAGCCTGTGGAAATATGTAAATGCGCCAGATTCTTGATTGAATTTAGCGAAATGGTGAAGTAGAAAAGGAAGGCGGGAGGAGGCAAGCACTGAAAGGTGGTTTCAAGACGGGAGTCCTGGAATTACTAGAGTAAGGAAGGGGTATGGAAATGGAAATGGACACGCACCTCGAATGCTATTAAAATCAAGGTGAGGGCGGTACGTCAAGATCTAGTGCGAGTTGCGAGTCTGAGAATAAGAAAAACGTAAAGAAGGACGAAACAGAACTCACTTCAAAATTCGAATTGCTCGGGTTGGAATCTGGTCGGTAAACGGATTCAGAATGGAAAGAGGTCCAGGGCAGAATGGACCAAGCGCGCACTCTAGAGTCTGGAAAAAATTCAAGCACGGCACGGGCGTCGAAAAGCAAAACGTACCGCGAGTCGGAAAATGAATGAAGTCAGGGGAAAGACGCCAGCAAATCTACTCGGTTGAAGTACGGGGAGGTCAGTGTGGTGCAGGAAAGAGAAAAAAAGAACTGGCCACCGAAAACTCGCGTTCTAATTCAGAGACAGAGACGTTGATGATGGGGTCAGTTGTGAAATAGCGTAGGAAACTCAACGTTCAATGGCCCGAAGGAACAAGGAAGAAGGCGTGACCACTCACCTTGACCTTGTGGATGAGGCTGAATCCAAGCAAGTCGAGGTTGGTTGCCTTTGAGGCAGTTAGTTCAACGAGTTCGGAGAACAGCAAGATACAGCAAGATACGAACCCACGCACCTCGATGGATCCCAAGCAAAGCAAAGGACGACGTTCGTCGAATGGAATAATACCAAGCACACGGTAATTGCGTTGAGATGGTTTCGGCCTTCATAGGAGAGCACATTTCGAGTCAGTGGTTGGCGACATGGGAGAACGCAGAGACATACCGAGGCGAGGTTCGAGTCAGTGATACGAGTCGAAAAAGCCAACGGATGCGCCAACGGATGTGGTCCCGGGTAAATGAACGGCGATCATTTCATAGTGTGAGACGTGAGTAGGAATCGGACATGCTTGGTCGGAATATTGTTGACCATGGATCTGGTCCGGGATTCGGGTCAACACTGGATTGAAGCCCGTCGAGTGCATTATTTTCACGGAGCCATAGATTCCGCGAAGCATAGACAAAAAATTCGTGCAAGAAGGAAGCAGACGCGAGACCTGAACTAGACTTAATAAAGTAAGCATGGAAGAAGTCATATAAGATGAGAACGCAGCCTGCTCGAGTTGAGGATTATGAGGTAGAGCGTGGTCAAGAAAGAAGACCTATCTAGATAGCTCGAAGCAAGTCAATGTATGAATATAACAAAGGGTGTCCGCGACGTGCGAGACTAACCTAGGCGTAAATACTTGCATAGTTTCGGGGTATATTAACGATACTTTCAGTCTGTTGCAGATGCGTCTCAAATCAGTGAAGGTAAAGTCAAGTACATTTACACAAACCTGGTTTGAAGCATTATAATGATGCTCGTGAAAAATTGAAGCCCGATATTGACGGAGGAGACTTGAGTTGTTAAGCCCAGTTGACGAAGCCTTGGCTGAGTAAATAAGTGGACTCGTATCATAACAGACGGGTCAGAATGGTCCTTCGACTCATCAACTGTGAAATCCGGTGCTTCCCGAAAGAAAAGTACGTGTCCGGACTTGAGATTGCTCTCCGTGAAGCCAAAGAACCACTAATCAAGCCTACCGAGATACTCTTTCGTAGTGTCTGTCTAGGGAATTTGATAAGAAAGTAACTCGGGTGAATTAATTGGAAGAACTGACATACTTGAAGCCATTTATTCTTCACGGAAGTGTTGAATACGTTCGAGATCGTGATTCAACACTGAAAGAATCTAATCCAACTGAGTAGTAAAAGATTAGTGCGCTGACTTTGAATGAAGAAAGCGGATCTAATAAACCAAAAGTCCGTCAGTGCACCAACTTTGATTGAAGAAATAAATCGAGTGGGCTTGCTTATTCGATCTTGAAGCCACAGATTTCCTAGGCTTGAGATGCTTGAGGCTTTCAGAGAGAGAGAGAGGCAACTCAGTATCAGTTGCGGGCATTAGTGACTAATAACACCCACCTGTATGAAGCACAATAATCACGACCTTCAGTGTTCACCGAACTCAACGTCGAGCTCCAATTGAAAGGTGTGCCTTGTAAGTGAGGGGAGTAAGGGCAAGGTCTCCGCGCTTAATTAGACGTACTGGCACCGCGGGCTTCCGCATTGAACCTCAAGGTACGATAATTTCGTCGCAATGGCCTTCCGAAGCGAACATGTAAGTAAACCAAGGCAGATCGAATGGAATTTCGAACAGAAAGAGAGTTCACCTTTGAGGAACTATTGAGCAGTCAAAAGCCGAAGTACCAAAAAAATCGAATGGCCTGAATCCCAACCCAGCGAAAGTGGTCCTGGGTAAACGAACGGCGATAATTTCATACTGTGACGCGAATTGGGTCAGTTGGATAATAACACGCAACGTACCTGCAATCGGAAAAGCTTGGGCGGTTGACCATGGGTCCGGGCTGGATTTGTCCGAAGCAAGCGATCAAACGGGATGCACCCGTGTTGTCAATTACGGAGATCGAGCTGGGCTTCATCAGAGTAGGCCAAGTCAGGGACAATCAGATATATTTGGCAGGGACTGGAATGGGGAGGCAGTCAGTAAGTTGAATGAAATAGCAAGGTAAGCTTGCCTCAAATTATCGAGCCAAAGTTGATAAGAACAACATACGAACAAGTAATTTTTCGTTTCAAAATCGAATTCATCCACAGACACCGATCACGAATAAGATAAGGATTGGCCATGGGTGCTGGAGGGTCGGTTGGGCTCCGAATTTGACTCCACGGATTAATAATTATCGGCGTAGCGGCAGAGAATGTCCAAACTTTGATGTTGCACTACTCCATTCATTCAAATTGGGTTGAAGGCACATGCGCTCGGAAATATTTTTTCGTCCGTCACAGCTCCGGAGTGTTAATAATCTGTCACTGTTATGGGGACGGCCACTGCCCTTGAAGTCTTCGACCACGAAATGTGATGTTCAGAAGTTTAGTCGCTTCCCATGACAGAATCATGTAATTTAGTGCACCACATTGTCAAGTAGTTATGGAATCAGCACGCAGAGACATTTTTGAACACTCCACACGTGATTCTAGCGTTCAACACGTGATTCAAGCGCGTCAATGTGCCTGCGTAAATAAGCCCAAATACGGGTTCAACTTTGCGCGTGCTCACATTAAATGAAGATACCAAAGAATTCCTCTGCTTTTTTCTCTCTGTTTTCACGAACACATGAATGCATCACCGAGGGGCGTGATAGTCTGAGTGACTCGCACACGACTTATGACTCGAACCGGTACTGCGGTCGAGTCAGACTTTTCTCCCGTCCGAAGAGAGCAAAAAAGAAATAGCAACGGCTTGTCTCGATCAAGCGACCTCCGGATTCCTCAATTTTATATGAGACCGGCGCACTTCCAACTGTGCTACGGTGCTGTTGCAAAATTAGCTTGATGGGCTGCTCGGAAAGGGTCTCCACACTGCGGGCTTTACTACGTGTTAGACTCCGCTCTTTCCCCTTTACCTCCCCTTGGCAAGCTCATTAAACCGTCGCTTCGGCAGTTGATATGGGCGCCCTCGGATAGACAGCTGTTAGCCTACGACTTGGACCTCTAACCAACCCCTACACCGACATTCAATTCATTCTCCTCAATAATACAGAATATTGATCATTCGTCCCTACCCACCTACCTACATCCGGCTTACACAAATCGCTTCTCAGGACCAAAAACATCGACTTCCCATTGGTCTCCGGCGTCTAGAAGAAATTGAAAGCGACTCGAGTTTATATGAGCACCTGGAGACACTCGAGGTCCAAAAAAAGGGGGGGGGGGCGCTAGTTTGAAAGTTGAAGTGGCAGATGGCCGACAATGAATGCGGTAATCAAGCCAGCGTTTGTTCGAATTCGCGAGGCCGAGCTGCTGGCTAGTTGATCGAGCGAGGTACTTGCGAGCTGCTACTGATAAAACGTCTGATCCGGATGACGGAGACGACAACCAAGAAGGGTTCCATAAGCCATCAGAATTTCTTTTTCTTCTTCTTCTTCTTCTCCCCTACGACGTAGAGGGCTCAACCGGTTCCTGGATGTTGCATCTTACTCGTTCAATCGCGCGCCTGCGGGTTGGTTTGCATGGACTTTCTCCATCTCATTATTTGTTTCTCGGTTTTCCGCGCACACGGGCATCCTCTTATCCGCCGAGTCCTCTCCTGATTTCCGAGCACTGTCACCTTTGATTTCACCAGCTCAGACGGATTCCGAGACAGCTGCAAGAGGCGATGGCGCGTTTGCGTCCCATTCAATGTTCTGTCCTTTCCTCCTTCCTTTCCGCCAAGTCTTAGCCCCAAAACCGCGACGTTCTCCCGGATAGTGTTTTAGAGGCAGACAAAAACCGTGTCCGTTGAGTATGGATGTTGTAAACTGCAGTTACTCACTAAAAAAGACTCACATTTGCAGTCGAAGTGACAGAAATTATCACTTCGGGCTCAATTTTGTATTCGGGTGTTATTTCCTCTTTGTCGTGCGCTGCTCTCTCTCTCTCTCTAATTGCCCCTTCCTTCCCGTGGTGCAGAAGAATATAGAGCGCATCACCGACACAGATGTGCTGTTATTTGCGCTTTGCATTGAATCTGCTAATTCTTCATCCATAGAATATTCTCGTTTTGATCCTTGGCTTCTGATCAACTCTCCGCGTCCTGTACACTTATGATGAGGTTTGAGCTGCCTTGATCGATTTCCTTGCTCATTTTTAGGAGCCCAGCATTTATGTGGTGGATGTATGATGTACCATTAATACAACTACTTGCAGTCCCAATTTGACTGAACCGCCAGCCGGCGTGACTGAACTGCCAGTGCTCCAATCGACCTGACTGAATGAACTCGATCAAGCTGATAGTGCATCTCAGTCAGCCTGACCAGCACACATCAGGAATCAAAGTTTACGGAACGATTCACAAGCTCCTCCCCTTTTCCGGACATTCTTGGCTACAGCACATCCACCGGAACAGCCGGCACGGTGAGCCAAAGTATTGGAACAGACATGCTATCAGGTATAACGCCCAATCAATGTATTGTTCAGAAGCTCTGGACGTTTCAACAGCTCTACTTCCACATCCGGGTTAAGTAGCTTTATTTTGAGAAGCGTCCACTATTGGTTCCGGACATGTCGTCGACTTCCGCGCCGGGGGCGCCAGCTGGAATCCGACCTAGTACTCATTGAAACTCCATCTCGCAAAAAAAATAAAAATGATCCCAATAAGTTATCAAAGTAAAGATGTCACTAAAGTGGTTGGTTTGCATATGAATCACAGATCTAGTTGGTGTAAATGAAGTATGTTCTGGTTCCAGAGAGGAGATGTGTTAAATAGACCCAAATTTACCATGCTTGATTGAAACTTTGGCTGTGTATTACAGCTGCGAATATTCGTGAATATCAACTTTTCTGAAAACTGATATTCGCATTCGCACGAATAGCACAGCCACAGCCATTCGTGAATATAAATATTCGCTATTCGCAAATGGCTTGGCACGAATATTTGCGATATTCGCTATTCGTGTTGCTCTCTAGATAGCTTGACTCGATGGGGTAATTTCTCCAGAATAGGGAACTCGGGGAAATCCTTTGAATCAGGGCACCTGGAAATGTTCCTGAAACTAAAAGTTTCTGGAATGGGTCCGGGAATGTAGAAACGGGTTCGGAAACTAAAGTTTTCGGGTCGTGTCAGGGGAACCGCCCGTCCGTCCGTCCATCCGTCCGTCCGTCCGGCTCCGGCCCATCGCACTGCCCCGCTTCCTCGTCCGATCCTTCGTCCGGCCTCCGGACTCGCACCCCAGCCTGCGCCTCCATCCGGAACGTCACCTCCCGTCCCTCCGGACTCTGTTCCCTTCCGTCCGTCCGGCCGCTCTCACTGGCACGTGCTGTGTGATCAAGCTCGAGACCTCTGCCGATCCCTCCGGACACGTGCTACTGGCTAGTACTTAAAAAACCTCGCCTAGCGTGAGAATCCTCATCCTTTCTTCTCTTCGGATTCTCCCGCTAGGTGCGTATTCTAGAAACCTGTATTTAGTACCATTCAATTGAGTTGCTTCGGATTCTCCCGCTAGTCTCCCGCGCTCTGCGCCGAGCTGAGGTTGCCCTTACAGCAGAAGAAAGGATCTAAGGGATCAACTGGTCAAGATTGCGAAGTTCGGTGTAGACTCGGACTCGGACTGCTACGCTAGCGCTCCGGCCTCCCCGACTTCCAACCTCGACCCCTCCTCCTTGATGGACGCTCCGACGCCCGGAAGCGGGTCCGCGCCACCCGAGCTCCCGGATGTTTACATCCCGGAACCGGCTGCCGACCCCGAATCCCGGCTGACCGCGGTCGAAGGCTCTCTCGCAAACATCGAAGCCCTACTCCTCCGCGTTTTACACAACAACACAAATCCACCCGCGACTGCCCCCGTCCCTGCCGCTCCGGCTCCGGCGGTGGGTCCAGACTTTACCACCCTCACCCCCGCAGCAAAATCGGTTCTCCGACCGAACCCCCCGGCCGTCTTCGACGGCGACCGGACCCAAGGACGGATGTTCCTCCACTCCGTCCTCACATACCTCCGACTGGTTCCGGAAGCCTTCATGGTCCACGGACAGCTCGTCGAGGAAAAACTCGTGCGGTACGCCATGTCCTTTATGGCGCGAGACGCGGCCGGACGATGGGCCGAACGACAGTCCGCAATCGTTCCGTTCCCATTCCCGTCCTGGGCGGAATTCGAGTCCGAGTTCCGGCTCCGGTTCGTCGAGGAAAACGAGCAAGACCAAGCTCTCCTCCGGCTGGAGACCCACAGCTACTACCAGGGCTCCCGCGACGTTTACCGGTACACGGACGACTTCGAGGAACTCACCGCCACGGCCGGGTACACGGATCCGCTCGTCCGCGTCACCAAGTACCGAGCGGGGCTCGACCCGAGGATCAACGCAGCGATCACCACGTCCGGAACCGCTCCGGCGCTGCTAGACTACGCCGGATGGCGTCTCCGCGCCTTCCGTCAGTACGACGCCCTCGCCCGCGTCCGAGCGGGAGCACCTCCGACTCGCGCCCCGGCTCCGGCCGCACGCCCTCGCACTGGGACGTTCCTCCCAGTCCCCTCCTTCACGCCTGCTCCCAAAGCCGCGCCGGCGCCCGCCCTTCCGCCTGGCATTCCGATGGAAGTTGACCGGACCCGCGCGCGCTTCGCACCGCGCGCTTGCTTCCGCTGCGGTGCGTCCGGACACCTCGCCCGAGACTGCCCGACTCCCTCGGACGTCCGGCACGCAGACGTCCTGGACGAGGTCGTCCGTCAACTCGGAGACGGCCTCCTCGGAGAGCTCTTCGCGCGCCTCTCTACTACCGCCGGGCTTCCGACCGAGCCGGACGCCGGAGACGCGGAGCCGGAGGGTTTTCCGGACGCGGTCGAGTGAGCGGTGCGCCCTCGGTCGCGTCCCCTAATCGTTACTCCTGCCTGTACAAAGATATACCCAATAAATCAGCAGTTGAAACGAAAGACGCACCCCCTGCTCCGGTTTCCGCCCCCCGGCCGGAGCCCCCTATTCCCGCCCCGGAGGCAAAAACCCCTTCCATTCCCCGCGTCCACCGTCCGAGATGGGAACGCAAACTGCCCCGGCAGTACGTTATTGATTCCGTGGAGGGCCGGAACTCCCTGCACATTCCGTTGGAGATGCAGTCGGTAGAAACCGCGGCTAAGGTGTCCGTGAAAGGTCTGGTCGACTGCGGAGCGACCGGAGACTTCATTGACTCGGAGTACGTGATCTCCCGCAACCTTCCCGTCCGGAAGCTCTCCCAGCCTATCCCGGTCCTCAACGTCGACGGCACACCCAATGCATCCGGAGGCATTACGGGCGTAGTCGATATGGTCGTCAACTACAAGGGTCACTCGGAACGCATCCAACTCGCCGTGACGCGACTCGGGAAGCAGCACGTCATCCTCGGTTACTCCTGGCTTCAGAAACACAACCCGGAGATCGACTGGGAAACCAAGGAAGTCCGGATGACCCGCTGCCCGACCAGCTGCAGCACCTGCCGAGACGAGCTTCGCGCCGTCCGTCGCAGCGCGAAGATCTCCGCCGCGATCCTCCGACAGCTCCGCGAAGGTCCCGTCCCGTCTATCTGTGCCATTGACTCGGAGGAGTGGTGCGGAGACGACGGGTACGATCCGGATGGCGACGGAGACGACTGTCCGGACCTCACTCCGGACCCGGACGAAGACGACGATGACGAGCTAGAAGAAGGCGACCGGATCCTCTACACCGCGTTCGCTCCGGCCGAGGAAATCCGCGCCGGGAGCACCGTCTCCCAACGGCTCGCGGAGGCCTTCGCCCGGAACTCGGCCCCGCCTGGGACCTCGGTTCCGACCTGGGTCGAGGACTTCTCCGACGTCTTTGACAAGGAGTCGTTCGACGCAT